GAGGGCACTGAGGGGCTGCGGGGTGTCCTGAGGGGCTGGGAGGTCTGGAGGGGGGTCCCGGAGAGAGATGAGCGGTTTGGGAGAGTCCCTGAGGGAGATCTGGGGGAATCTGAGGAGGTTGTTGGGATCGCGGGCGGGATTAGAGGATCCTGAAGGCTTCTGAGGGGACAAGGGTCGGTCTGAGGAGGATTTGCGGGGTCTAAGCGGGTTCTGAAGGGAATTAGGGGGGGTCAGGAGAGAGTTTGGGGGGGTCTCTGAGGGGTTTGGGGACTCGTGAGGGGTTTGAACGTGGCTCGGTGGGAATGAGGGGGTCCGGAAGGGCCCAAAAGAACCGGGGTGTCCCTGAGGGTCGGGGGGTGCTGAGCTCAGGAGTTTGTGACCCCAAATCCCCCCATTCCCTCCCAGACCCCCAAAGTTCCGGAGGTTCGGGATGTCACCCGCATCGAGCGGATCGGTGAGACGCGACCCCCTCGCTTTGGGGGGGTCTCCCCTTTTTGGGGAACCCCCCCACCCCATTTTGGGGATTCAGTCCCGCTTTTGGGGAGGTTTGGATGCTCTCCAGTTTGTCTGGGGATATCCTACAATTGGGAAAATGGGGGTTAGAAGGAGTCAGAAATTTGGGGGATTACTCCTAACTTTTGGGGGGGAGTTGAGGGGGTCCCCAAAATGTGGGGGACCCTTTGTAACCCCCCCAAATTCCTTTTCCCAGGCGCCCACTCCCACATCCGCGGGCTGGGCCTGGACGATGCCCTGGAGCCGCGACAGGTACGAGGACCGGGGAGGTTTGAGTCTTCTGGGGGGGGTCTGCACCCCCGGAATTTGGGGGTTCACCGCCCCCCGTGGCCCCCCCAGGTGTCCCAGGGCATGGTGGGGCAGTTGTCCGCCCGCCGCGCCGCCGGCGTCATCCTGGAGATGATCAAGGAGGGGAAAATCGCCGGACGCGCCGTCCTGATCGCCGGGCAGCCCGGGACGGGGAAAACGGCCATTGCTATGGGTTTGTGACCCCCAAAAACCCCCAAATCCCATCCAAAAATGTCCCCAAATCCCTGTCCTGATCCCCAGGCATCCCAGACAGGGAAAACTGTCATTGCCGTGAGTGGGTGACCCCAAAATCCTGCCTGATTTTTCCCCCTATTCCCCCAAATCTCTCTCAAGCTCACCCCTGACTCCTCCAATCCACCCTAAATCCCCCCAAATTCCTCCTCAAACTCACCCCTGACTCCTCCAATCCACCCTAAATCCCCCAAACTCACCCTAAATTCTCCCCAAACTCACCCCTGACTCCTCCAACCTATCCCAAATCCCCCAAACGCAACCTAAATTCTCCTCAAACTCACC